CCACGTGACTGTTCGTGTTGTCTGTGTCTGTAACCGCAACTCAAGCAAGTTTTCCAGCCTACACCACTGCCATCTCGGTGTAAGTAAACAATCTTTAAAACTACCGCTAAGCGTTTGTGCCTAATTCCAGCTCGTCGCCCTCCCTCTCCGATCCAGCGTGCCCGGGCTGCTGGCCACAGCCCGCGTGCAGCACGGAAAAGGGTTCAGATCGCTCCCGGCCCACACAGAAAGAAGCCTCAAAGACAGATTCCAGCGCTTGTAAAGATAGGTATACCTGACTCTGTAGCCTGCTAGTGTGTGTGTGTGTGTGTGTGTGCGCGCGCATGTGTGCGGGGACAAGCCACAAGGTTTATGATTACAGTGTTTCAATCCGCCTAATAAACTAGAATTTTAAGGATCTCGAGTTGGACATTTGTAGCCAACAGAGGGAAGGACCCGGGGCCCCCACAGCTCAGGAACTACTTGGCCCACCAACTCCCCCCACCCACCCTGTCGTGGGAGAGGCAGGTAGGCTCTGGGGAAGAAAAAGCAGCAGGGCCCTCCGCTTTTTATTTTCTGGTGGAGCCAGGGGGAGTGAGAGGCGGGTGAACTGACAAGGGGGCTTGATGTACTGTGGGGCCACATGATGTCATGAAAGTCCCTAAATTGAAACTGGGTTTTTAAACAACACAAAAAACCACCAATTAAAAACCTACCATTTCAATTTAGGGAGAACTAAACCCCTGTTGCATGTACAAGCACCCTTGTAACAGAATCATGCACCAGCTCAAAATTGGGACTGATAGACAGGTTACTGAGAAACAGCAAGATCCAATGGCTCAAGTACTGGACTAGGAATCAAGAATCCTGTGTTCCATGCTCAACTCTGCTGCTGACTTACTGTGAAACGCTTAAAAAGTCATTACACCAAATTGTGCTGCTGTCTGTCTTCTTAGAAATGCATTTTCTAAGAATTTACAAGTAATTTGTTAATGAATTACTTTAAAATGGGTCCTTCAAGAAGCACAGCACCCTGTCAAAACTTTTTTTGTATCCACTTATCTTATTAATGGAATAACAGACTTTTTAAATTCATATGGGAAAAGTTCACTAAGATCTTAGGCATATTTGAAGAAATATTTTGAAGTAATTGGTCTTTTTCTTGATGTTATTCTTAACTGAAAGTTACTTCTACAGAGCTGAAAATTTCTCTGAGGGAGAATACTGTTTTATGAAAAAGCTGCCATCTCTTATTCTTTTCAGGAGGACCTAGGCCAAAAGCTTCCTTTAGCAAATATGAACACTGCCACAATTCACCTGTTCCTCATTATTCTTTTGCTTGGTGAAAGTGGACAGTCCTCCTTCAGCACTGCTTTGATTCATTCTCATTGGAAGCATGGGAGTTGCAGCCATTTTGAAAGAAAACATCCTAACTGTGAATAATATTTGTCTTCTGAACAATGGGTGACTGTGGATATTCTCCAAGGGTCATTATGAATGTTTAAAGATTTTTTTTTGGCATTGGCCACTACTGACAAATTTTCAGCTGTGAAAAATAGTGGCAGAACTGACTGTCAATCCCATTTTTTTTTTATAGGGTCTATTTTCAAACCCCTGCAGATCAGAGCTGTTCTGCTGTTCATTTATTCCCATTTAATTCTGGTGCTGTCTGCAAATTTGACAACGTAATTTTCACCAAGTGATTGCTCAATGAAGACAGAAACAAAATGACTGTGGGTTTGTGGGGAGGTCAAAAACATTTTAATAGCTTTATAGAAGATTGAGGTCTGGCCTCAACTAGCATAAGGGTCACTGTCTGAATAGTGAAAAATGCTTCACTGAGACTGAAGCAGCTGTGCAAACTCAGTATGAAAACTGATTTAATCCAGGCTTAGGAAAGACCTGTAAATATACTTATTAGACCATCTTCTGATCTCAGATGTACCAGTATAAATTTGGAACAGATTTTGTAAAATTAATTGACTTATTCCAAGTTAAACCAGATCAGAATCTGTCCCCTTTTGTTCATTTCCTCCAGCAGTGGTATTGAAGTGCAATGTAATATTTGTAGTAATGCACATCCTATGGTAATTTTATGAGTTTGTGACATTTCAGTTGTCTCTAGCACTTGTTGAGATTTTGTGCATCTCAGAATGATTACACTATACCAAATCTCAAGGCCATATCTCCAGGATTCAGAAATTTCAGTGTCCTTGGCTGCAAGTGCCAAAACATTCAAATTTAAGTACCTAAAAGCAGGTAATCTCAATCAATGATTAGGCAATCAATACAAACGTGCACTTCTCCTTTACCTCCCAAAATACCAAAACTCAAAGGAGAGGGATTTTCAGGTATGCTAAGCAGCTGCAACTCCTGTTAATTAAGGAAGGAATCTCCTGCCACACTGAAGAATATTGTCGAAGTTGATGACTGAAAAGCATCTGAATTATTGTTGACTCAGGTTTACGTTTTATAAGCGCGACCAATAAAATGCATTCAAATCCTTGTTACTCTTATCAAAGTTCCCTATACGTTGCTTGTGCCGGCTGTGTCATAACAACTAACAAAGGCTGCTTACAGATGTAAAAAAAATTAAAATGGCGCTTTACTATGAACTTGGCATGTCCCTGTGCTGAGCCCAGCATGTGTCCATCGCATTAGTTCAGGGATGGTAAAATGCAGCTCGTGGGCCGGATGCAACCTGCCAGGCCATTCTGTCTGGCCTGTGGGGCCCCTAAAAAATTAAAAAAATTAGTATTTATCTACCCCGGCTGCCTGTCATGCAGCTCTTGATGGCTTGCCAAAACTCAGTAAACAGCCCTCCACCTGAAATAATTGCCCACCCCTGCATTAGCTGGACCCAGCTTGCCCAATGTCTGTATAGATTGGACGCTTCAGCAGGGCTTTTTAGGCGCTCTCATCTCATAGCTGACTGAATCAGTTTTAAAGCACCAAAAAGCCCTGCTGAAGCACCCAATCTATATAAACACTACAGAGCTGGGTCAAACTAACACCTTTTTTTTTTCATGTCTGTCAGCAGCCAAAGTGCTCACAGTTCGGTATTTCAAGAAGTTACCCAAAACTAGTGCATTTAAATACAATTATTTAGTATTGCCCTCACAGAAAATATTTTTTTTCTTTTGCAGATCCAAAACTTCCATAATCCAGGACCCAAGAAAACTAGATTCTAGTTATCAAGCTTGAAGAGGTAAACACTGTGCGGGCCGCCTCCCGATCCCGTCCATGTCGCCATGTGCGAGCCGGGAGCGATATGCGGACCCGTCTTTGCGCACGCGGGCTGTGACCAGCAGCCCGGGCACGCGGGGTCAGAGGAGACCGTGTGGCGGCAAGGCACGCACAGGCTAGAATTAGTCACAGAGGCGTAGTGGTTGACTTAAAGATTGTTTACCAAAGATGGTCGCGGTGCAGGCAGGAAAACTTGCTTGAGTTGCGGTTACAGATAGAAAAGATAAGAGGCGGACTAGAGTTCCTTCCCGTGAACACTCTTCTAGCCCATCCGGTTGGAGGCTCTAAACCGTGAGCCCGTCGTGCCAACCGAAGAAAGTACTCGTACAAAAGAGCTCTGAATAGACTCACACGAAGTTTGCTAGGCTCCGTGGAACTTGTGCTCTGAGGTAGTCCGGTCATCTGAACAACTATGTCAGTTGTTCCAGGTGGCAAGAAATAGACTCACATGAAGTTTGCTAGGCTCCGTGGATCCTTTTGTGCGCAGGGCGCAGGGAGAGGGATACATCGAGGATTGTGCTCGGTGACGGGGAGAGGCTAGAGGCTGATCAGACCCCTGTTGCCTGCTTGAAATGCACTGGGTCCGATAGGCTCCGCAGCGCTTAGAGATCTTCACACAGCGTGAAGTCTCCTCCTCCTGGTGTTCGTGGAGTCCTCCAACTTGGGCGGAAACCACTCAAGCCTTTTATATGGCTAGCAAGCCAATCACTAGCCGCCACGTGTGAATAATTTAGAACTGGCCAATAATGGGGCTTGAATTAGCATACAAATGGCGGGAACTCTTTGCAACGAGCATCTCTGTGCTGCAACAAAGAAATGCACCCTGCAAAGAAAGCTACTGATGGCGGGAATTCTTTTGCACCGGGGTTCTCTTTTGCAGCAGAAAACTCCGCCGTGCAAAGAAGCTGCAATTTAGCGGGAACAATTTAGCAGTGCCGAAGCACACAAAAACAAACATCACACCCTTTGGGTTGTGACAAACACCATTTTACATAAATGGGAAATGTGATGAACTCCATGGCTTCAGTGGTCACCTGTTATTAGTAAACGGAGCATGGTACTGCAAATGCTCAGTTTTTTATTTAGGTCTATCTACTGTGTTCTGTAATACATAACTTTGTCTGGAATTCTACCTTTCCCCTTTAATATCATTCTATCTTCATAGACATATATAGTTCCAAAGGCATGGCTTTGTGGTGGAGTTTCAATAATCCCTTCCACAGTAAGATGATGGACTCCATGAGAGTCTAGACAATAACCACCATCATGGAGGTGGCCTGCAAGAAAACACACCACACACTGATGAGAGTGGATGATGGAAAGGGCATCTTTATAATTCCAAGCAAGGCAAACGTTGTTTGTAGAGCCTGGATGAATGGGAAGGTGACCTGCAATTGGGAAGAAAAAAAAGTAAGAGGGAGACAAGACAGTATTTCAAAATAGTAAAGCAACCACCATATCCCTGCTACTTGGATATAAAGCTTTCAAGGAACTGGATATCCTCTGCAGGCTTCTGCCCTAACCCAAGTTATCAGTAGTTCTTTCCCTCAAGTGTCAGTGCCTTTCCACCCCTATGAATTTTCAAGTTCCAGCAAAATTTTTTTTGTTCCAGGACCAGCCTTAGCATTCATCCGCCACAGCAACTTCCTTCACTGAGTAGAGACCTATTCACCCCTTACCTAGAGCCCTCTGAAATCCACAGCATTCTTTCACATGCTTATACAGTACATATTTACTCTTTGAGGTGTGCATGTGAGGGGAAAACCATAAGTGGTTCCAGGGTTGATATACCTACCCATGACTAAAACTTTCTCTCTATTTTTATCAGAAGCTGTAAGAACCTCATTGAACCAATCCAACTGCAGTTGGCTAAATCCTCCATTGAACTTCACAAACTGAGGCTCATCAAGTCCTGTAACAAAGAGAGGAGATTAAGGGCACAGACACAAAACAGCTGCTTCTCTACTTATTTTAGTGTCAATCTAGGCTCAGAATAAACAGTTGCCTTTGCCCGTGTAGTACACAAAAATAACACCCTCTGGAGTAGATAAGGGAAAATGATTTGCTAGTAATTTTGCTGCCTTTGATGTTGCCACATGCCCAGGATTTCCAGTTTTGAGTCTCAGCATGCTAGCATGAGGATTTCTGAGTTGGCAGTTAGACAATAGTCCCTTGTGTCCTGTTCCAAATGCCACTGTCTCAGCTCTTGCCTAAAAATGTCTACATGAGAAACAACAGCTCCTGTAGATTGAGAACTATATAAAACTACGAGTATGATTTTTTTCAGATGGCAATGGCTATCTAATGGAAGGAAATAATAGGGACAGTAAGATATCATCTGTATATAGAGCCCCAGACTCTAAAGAGACATGCAGAAGAATCCAATGAGATACATTTAAAGACCCAGAATTACAGGTGGGTTAATATGGGTATTTTAAAAGATACTTTACGTACAGGATTCCCCCTTTTGGAGAGGAAAATGCTCAAGAGTCCCTGCGATGGACACCATTTCTGCAGGCAGGGACATGCAGGGAGCCAATCACGGCTCTGTCCCAGGGCCCCGGCCCCTCACTGTCACCACCCCGTGATCCCAGAACCTTATCTAAACCCCTTATCAACAGAGCCATATCAAGTCTTCCACTGTGGTTTCTGTAAAGGTTCACAGTTCAAAGAATAGTCCATGCTTCAGCAAGTATAGTCACTTCAAGGAGACACTTGTCATGTTTGTGTTAACACCGACATTAAAAGTGAGTTTGAGCCTTGGGAAAAGTGCCATGGTTCCAGAACCTTAATAACCCATTGTATTCCTAAGGCATCCGGTACTAGAAAATAGGGTCTAGCCCTGGATGTCTAGAAAAAAAAAAAAATTGAGTGCAATTTTTCCCAAATTCAGCATGCATAAATCCTCAACTGCTGAGATGCAGCTGCTGAGGTCTAACTGGCAGACAGCTTTTGAGCTCTGTCTGGCTTAGGTATTCATGCTTGCATGATAGATGTCATGGATCCCCACTAAGTTACTTGGAATGCAAAGGACTCCTGTTGGAAAAGTAGAGCCAAACAATTTGAAAGAAACAAAGAGCATCAAACCCCTATATCCAGAAAGCCCAGGCTATGACTATTCAGTTCACCAGTGAATCATGCTCCCAAAGCACTGGTAGAATTCAGATGAAGGCACATTAAGGGTAGATCTCAAAAGCCACATGAACCAACTATACCCTGGAAAACAGTACCTACAAAGTACAGAACTAGGGCTGTCTGAAAAAAATGTTGTGCAGGAACTGGCATCCAGCCTCTGTATTGACTCAGATGACAATATCTCCCAGCATAAACTAAAGTACTGACGTTGAACTGCATAGCTCAGCCCTTTGTCCCAGGCATCCGTGGATTGGTCTAGGCACCGCCGAAACTCCTTTTTCACTCCTATGCTTTAATAATGTAATCCTTCAGATTATGCAAAAGATCAATGCAAGAAGTTGTAAAGCCTGTGATAGAATAGTCTCAGAAAGTGCCAGAGCAACGATGGTTGAAAAATAAAATCCGTGCTGCTTACGTGGGACAGTCTTTGCCTGACTGCACTTGAGAGAACCTACTTGCAAACATCCTGGGGGCAACTGAGGCAACTTTTATCAGACCTCAGGAAGAGGCTTGTGCCTCACTGGACAAAACCCACTTACTATCTAATGAAGGTCTGACTCCTCCTGCACTAGAAGGCTGTCACCCAATGGGAATCCTGCCCACAGCTTCATTAATGAATGCACCCCACCACACATTGTGGTATCGGCACAAACTAGGGCAACCAAGCTCTTAGTGATCTATGAAGTCATATTTTAAGTTAACTGTGAGTATTTCTGGTTGACGGGCAAGGAAGATTGATCCACCTTCTGCATCCGCCAGCTGTGCTGCATGCTGTGCATTACCTAGAGCAGTGGTTCTTGGCATTTTTTGTTCCAGGACCCATTTGTAAACATCAGTGGCCAGTCGTGACCCAGTGCCCCTCACTCCCGATCCGCTGCCCCCTGCCCCCCAGTGTGAGGGGCGGCGGGGGGGGGGGGGAGGGGGCAGGCAGCCCCTGGCAGGCTGGAGCTCTGCCAGCCTGCGAGGGAAAGCCACATCTTTCTCCTGTAAAGGAGAACCCTTTTTTAAAGTTTGTTCACGACCTTTTAATTTGTTCTCGCGCCCCACTTTTTGGGTCACGACCCACAGGTTGAGACTGGCTGACCTACAGGGCTGTTCAGATCCTCGTTTGGGTTCTTCTCTTTCAGGAGCTTCAGGGAGTCCTGGTATTTCTGAGAATACTTGTCCCACCCGAGGACACTCAAGTCGTAAGCGTCGAGCATAACAAAGCGGAAGCCCGCGGCGGGACTGAAGTGATAGACGTAGCAGGCGTCTGCCTCAGCGCCCGGGCCCGGGGCGCCCCGGGGCGCGCTGTTGAGCTCGGAGCGCAGCAGGTACTCGCGGCTGAAGGTGTAGAGGTCGTGGTTGCCCCATGCGTGGGGCACGGGCGCGCG